TTAATTTGGCGATGCACTAGTCTAACCTCCGATTGGTTGGCGGGATGACGAGTTACATCGGTTTTAGCCTTTATTTTATTGATTACTACAAGGGTTACTTCTGCTATTACCGCGGTTATTATTATTATCATTATTTTAAAGTGATATCTATTTTATGCAATGTCAAGTATTTATTATACTAGGTTTTATGCACGTGATTAAATACTATGATTAAGTATTTTTGATTTATTTGCTTACTAAAATTTGTTTCTTAGTTTCACTTTGCTTGTTTTTGCTCACTTATGTCTTTAAACTGTGATTATTTATTTTCTTTAATGTTTGTTTGGATAGGCTACACCAAATTTAAAATTTTCACGTTAATAATTGAATTGATAAGAAATAAATATAATCTAAAGCTAATTTGAATTTACACGTTATTTGGATCGACATGAAATCAAGCTTGACTTGAGAAGGTATAATGTTGTAAAAGTAAAAAACACTTGAAGAAATAGTGTTATAAAAGAAAGATGAATAATTAAAGCCAATAATCCAAGATGATTAATTAAAAGTGGGCTACAATGAAACTAAAAAAAAATATAAATTTTGTTGCTAATCATTGATAGACTTTAGAAAAAATCATAAAATAAAGATTAATACTAACTCGAGTACATTTTTATATGATAAATGCATCCACATAACCATATAAAAATATTAAAAGAGTTCATAAAAATCCCTTCTAAAGATTCGTGATTTTTCCTCAAAAAATTAAGCTATTCTATAAAATATTCAATAAATTAAATTTGTGTTGTATTTTATGTTTAGTGATCTTTAATAAGAATTTTAATTGTAAAATATGTTACCTTCATATTTAAAGATCTTGAAACCTGACAGTACTATTACATGCTTATCTTTGATCGTGTCCCTAAAAATTGATCATTCGTTGGTAGTCATATTCCCAAATAAGGTTACTTGTAGAGTCGTGACACTATATAGGAAAAAGAAAAATATTAATTTTAACTATTTTTTACTTACGCTATGGTAACTAAGTATCATGTGCATACTTTTTGTCAATTATAGTGATTTTCCTCATCTTATCTAGCTTATTATACTCGTAATATAGTTGATCAATGGCTTCACTTTAGTTTCTACTACAAGATTATTTATATATAATTTTATATTAAGTATATGATTCCTTTAGTATTTTAAGAATAAAGTATGAAATTTTTTAAATACTTACTAATTTTTGTTGTATCTTTCATGAAAAATGGTTTTTAATTAGGACAAAATTGTTTAATATGTTCTTCAAGGGGAACTCGGTCAGTGCTTCTTTGTCAGATTTGCCTTTTATCAATGTCAATTCAGGTGATTCATGAATGTTTCCGAATTTTGAGTTTATTTCATTCACTTCTCCATTTGAAATGGAAACAACTTAGATCTTTTAAATGATATATCTGAACTTTCCGATAGTTTCTCCATATACATCTCATTGTATTTTTTACCCTATAAATATTATCAACATTAGATATAAATGTTTATACATTACAATAAGTTAATACTAACCTATTATATTATAGTATTTTATTAATTTTTCTTTTATCAATGGATGTTATTATTAAAATTATATGCAGTTCCTTGAATTTATATAGTAATGTTAATTTTTAATCTATTATATATTTTTAAATTCTTATTCCTAAATTAGATATTTTTAATCTATGGTAATTGCTATTTGTTACCGGCATCAACTTAGACTATTTTTAGATGTTGAAAAGAGATGATAAATTTTAAATTGAAAGTTAAATTTATATAACTTAATGTTATAATATCAAACATTTCCTCTTTTCTTTGCCAAAATTTTAGCCTTTTTTGTGATTTTAAAATTTTGAGAGTGTGTTTTGTAATTTTTAAACTTTGGTAGTATTTTATGAAAACTTTTACTTATAAATTGGTTGCTTATAATTCATATTTTATGTATTGGTGGTAAGTTTTCCAATGTTAGAATATTTTTTGTAATTGTGAAAATTTGAAGGTATTTTTACAATTACTAAAAATTTGGGTTGTTTTTAAAAAATTTAAAATTTCAATGATCTACTGATAATTTCTAAATTTGATGTGCACATGTTATAAGTTTTAAAATTTTAGGATTTTTTGTAATTTTTTTACTTTTGGGAGAGTTTTTGTAATTTTTATAACTTTAAAGTTATTTTTTACAAATTTTAAAATTTTAAGTGCTTAATGGTAATTCTTGGAATCCATCTATGTTGTTGTTAAGTTTTGAAATCTCTGAATTTTAGGGTGTTTTTTATAATTTAAACTTTTGAGTTGTTGCTGTAATTTCTAAAATATTGAGGGTGTTAATTATAAATTTTAAATTATTAGATTTTTTGTTTGTTTATAAGTTTTAAAAAGTCAAGGTGTTTTGTGTAATTTTAAACTTTTAAGGATATTAAATGCAATTTTTGAAACTTTTGGGTTTTTTGTAATATTTCATGTATTATAATATGTTATCCACGTATAATTTCTTTATCTTATTTTTTCTAAATTTTTGAGTTATAGGTAGTTAATATGGAGTTAATAAAAGATATAATTCGCATTTGGATAGATTAAGATTTAAATAAAATATTTAAAATAACTTTTTTTAATTGGTGAACTATAGATAGTTTACGTGGAATTAGATAAGATATGATTAAAATTTAAAAAGATTAAGATTTAAATGAAATATCCAAAATAGTGAAGGGTAATATTGACCATTAAAGTTTTTCCTGAACTCGTGCTTTTAAAAGAAGTATGATATATATATATATATACTAGTTGGATTACACGTGCAATGCACGTGGTAAAATTTTTAATATTATTTTAAATTTTAAATTTATTTAGGCATAGATTTGGTCTAAATTTATTGAATGTAAACAATATAGCTAAGATATGTTAAAAATTTAAAAACTCACAACGTTTGTACAATAAAATTTAATTTATGGATAGTTTAGACAAATACACCACAAATAGTAGAGATTTGTGAACCAAACATTTGAAGACTTAAATAATATACTAAACTCAATCTCTGTCCACTCTCATTTGGTTTCTATGGGGAAAATCTATGATTCGATTCATACATTCTTCACACTGAATTATCACTGGTTGATGCAGATTGGTCATCTATAACTTGTCTTCGTCTCACATTAGGTGTAGTTTCATGTTCATATGACTGACATTTTGCTGATAACAGACATAAGTCTCGTTTGAGGCCTTATGTGGAAAATTGGACAAGAGAAAGGTGCATAAGTACAGGATTATGTTACATGTGTATCGGTATGGAAGAAAGGATAAGTACATGGATTTCTCTGTGAATTTCGCCATTGATATATTTTTGCTGGAGCCTATCTGTGATGGAACATTGGAAGGGAACATGATATAGGCCAAAGTGATAGGCTAAATCAATATTTGCTTCTTTCCTCTTTTTTGTAATCAATCATCAATAATCAATTGGATGAACCTTCTGTTGGGGATAAACTCGTTCTCTATCGAGATCAATCTCACCAATAATCAATTGGATGAACCTTCTGTTGGGGATAAACTCGTTCTCTATCGAGATCAATCTCACAAGTTTCAAAAAAAAAAAAAACAACTTTACAAAATATGTATAGGCACCACTTCATTTGTAGAAGTGTGGTTAGGTAAACTGCAGTATTGCCTGCAGTTCTTATAGGCAGCAATTAATTTGTAAAAAAATAAAAACAATTTACAAACATGAATAGCTTTGCTTATAGTATTTCTGGTTTGCAAAATACTAGCATACAATTATGACAAATGAGTACTTTAGGTTCCAGGTATATAACAAAGCAATCTTAGATACCATCTCTCAAATGGGCTCTCCTGCTTATCCAAATTGCACCAACTAATTGCTAAAAGGATCGAGGTTATCATCTAAACCAGAAATCCAATGAGCTGACTCAACTAATAAACTCATTAATTACCAATCTTATCAAAAGTTGGCTAAATTTCTCCAAAATTTTCCTCCCAGCAAATGTCTTAAAACCGTGTATTTACAAATATAACATTAAGGAGCAAAAGAGCAACCCCCTTAGGACTCTTTTTTTTTTCCTTTTTACAACAACAATTCAGGAAAAGGACTTTTCCTCTGAAGCAAATGAGCTCTCCTATATTTTGCAGGTTCATTATGAACGATCATTCTGAACACCATACTCAGATGCATGTTTCCAACAGGGACAATATTTATTCAGTCAGAACTAAACTTTTGGACTCCTGGATGGGTCAGAAACTCTAAGTGTACCCCCGAGCTCTACAGGTACTAAAGGAATTAAAGAGTGACGGACATCAGTTATCAGAGGGCGATAACTGGGTTCAGGTTGAAGACAAAGCACAGCAACAGCTGCCACCTGTATGAACCATGACACTCAAATTAGAAGAAGACAATAATGAATAAGGATATTAGACTAAAGTTCAGGGAATCTGACTTGGTATAAATGTTTCAAATCCATTATTTTTTTAATTGCTGGATCCACAATGTTTGGTAGCTTTGATCTATCTGTTAGCTGAGGCATGGCCTGCAAAATATCAAATTTGTTATTAATGCATTGGAGACTCGGAGTTTGGAGTATAGATGTAGGTTTTCAAACATGGGCAATGCTTACCCATGTAACTATAGTTTGGCACTGAGATGGGGCCAGTTTCTCGACTGGTTTTCTTCCCATGAGAAGCTCGAGAAGAACTACTCCAAAGGCATAAACATCACTTTTGTCTGTGAGTTTACCTGAACAAGTAAAAATAGATATTTGCAAAGTTGCCTACTGCCATAATTATCAGCAAGATGCCACAAAATATGACCTGCATAATTTATATGCATAAAAAGTGCAGTTGAACCAAAAAACTGTGTGACACCTATTGGACTAATTCATACAACTTCTTGTCTCAACATCCAGCAGTTCTAGTACTTTCTCCTAGTGAAATTCATACAAATTTTCATCTCACAATCTAGCAGTTCTAGTACGTTTATTATCATGATTTTTTTTTATTGTAGAAGATAGTTTCAGAAGGTGGAAATCAATAGGAAATAGAATTTATTTATCTGGGTAAAGGAAGAATTAACATACCAAAATAAAATCGAAAGCTTTTGTATCCTCCTTCGAGCTGGTAGTTGTAGCATGGATTTTTACTGTTTTTTTTGAAAGTTGAAAAATTTCAGGTAATGCTGAGTGACTTCCGTCAACAGCATGCTCATAACAAGCATTAATATTTCCTACAATTTGAAACAGTAGTAGCTGCTGTGCAATGAACGCCCCCATGGCGGCATAGTTCATTGGCTGGTTAGTATAAGATTGATTGAGCATCATAGTTAGGGGCATATTATACAGCATTGTAGCCATAGGGAATAGGGAGTTTGAACAAAGACCTCCATTTATAGCACTGCTCACAGGACCCTGGCTGGATTGGTTTGTAGGCATTTGGCTGGACAGATTTATGGTATCAACAAAGGAAGTTCCAATAAAATGTTGGTTGTTCTCTAGCACATTACTATTAAGAGACAAACCAGCCATCAAGTCATGGTCATTGCTTGTTTTCGTTTCAGATTCTTGCAGAAGAAGATCAGAGTTGTAACGGAAAGCGTCAAGTAATTCAAACTCTTTATTAACTTTCTGCTCATTCTCAGATTTGTTAACATCAACTATCCACCTTGAAAATCTGTCATCAAGTTGTTTCTCTTCGGTCACGTGGAAAGATACATCTGCGAATGGTTCATCTTTACTTTTATTTTCACTAATGTTCAGACCAGTAACAGGGCCATCTCCAAACAAATCATCAACCAAAGAACCAGATGTTGTCAGGTTTCCAATATCTTGGTCAACATGCTTCTGTGTTAAAGATTTAGTTCCCTAATCATTTGCATCACTTGTATCGATTAAGTTGGGCACCTGAACAGCTGGAACTGGCATGGTTATTGCGTTAGATTGCTCCACCTGGTTCCCTGTTCCAAAAATCTTGTCCCAATCCAAAAGACTTAAAACATAAAGAAAAGAAGACATTAAACTGATCAGTAACATAAAAAAAGTGAGAAAACCAAGAGTGAGCTGGAATTTGATCAGGAACGTTAAGAGAAAAAAGATAATAAAACAATCAAATATAAATAGGCAAATATGAACTATTATAAAAAGGTAATCAAGGGAAAAGATGAGAAACCATAAACGCAACTTAAGAAGATTAATATCATGTTTTTTTTTCTTTTTATCGATTCTGAGGATAAGATTTTAGTTGTTTGTGTGCCTATATTAATAAGTCTTGCATGCTTTGGGCTTTGAATGTAGATTTTATTAGATTATAACTTAAAATTAAAAATAAAAACAGATTCCAGTAAACCCAAGAACCGTGATTTCTTCCCATTCAGGATTGCATGTCATTGTGATGAAAATATCTGATTTGCCAAATCGTTGGACTAATGACATTGCATCAAGATATCTACGACGCATATCTCTAGGACCACCAATAAATGATGATGGCAGCACTATTCTTTTTCCGACTTGACTTGCTTTTGCTTCTCCAGCAGCTACACTATCAACTATGCCTTGGAATAACTCTGCTCTGATTTCTGATTGTTTTTTTCTAAAATAATCAAGTCTTGTTGTTTTAAGTTTTATGTACATATCAACAGCATATTGATGGAACAACCGGCCTGCCGATGTTAATACAATAGGTTGTCGAGTGTCTCTTATTTGGAGCTTGTAACAATAATATTCTCGACATGAGACGCTTCCTGCCTTTGGTGCTTTAACACCTACAAGTTTGCAGGTTAAGTTATTTCTTAATGTTTTAATATTATTAATTATTAAACAATTAAAATTATGATTTACCTTCCCTTTCTCGTTTAAATATGTCTTCTGCAGATGTAAAAGTTTGCTGAGTTACTTGAGATGTTGTATTTACTTGTTTTGACCGGCAAATATCATTTTTATCCCTTCTTTTAATATTTTGGTGCCATCCAACATCTCCGCCTGGAAAGAGTAAAGGATACTGTAAAGGATCATAACATCCAAAATAGTGCTTAACTTGATGATTCTTGCCGGAGTGTGAATGGACAACTATTTCTCTCTCATACGGAACATTATCATTATTTCCCTCTATCCAGATAGCTGCAACCTGATCCACTGTTGGCAAGTTGTAAACACGTTGATCTACTGCAGCATCTCTATTTATAATGATCTTGAAGTCTTCAAGAGATGGAAAATCATTTAGTTTCCGCAGAAATCTTGCATATGGGTTTCCTCCTAATATATCCATCAGTCTTTTAGTTGTAGTTGTACTCATATTTGCATTATCTAATATTCCCATTCGATTTTGCAACTCATTCTCCGTATCGTAGAAGTAAAGTTGAAAGTAGGAAGGCTTGTTTTCTTCTGGAATAAGAGAGGGGAGATTATGATATATTTGTCCTTGTGCTCTAAATGTGAAAATACCCTTTCTGTTTGATGCAAGTTCTCTATCAAACCTTGCCCCAAATGATGTGAATGAGAAAATGCTATTATACTTTCTGGTTTGTCTTCGAAACTCAATTGCCTCTTGGGTTTGTACTGTATAAAGGGCATATAACTCGTCATTAAAATTCACATCTGCTAGGTGGATTTCACCATTGTGACAACAGGATGTTGGTGGCTCATGTTCAAATTTTTTTGCTCCACAAAATGAACAAGACTTTGGAATCCGTAGTTTATGTAATAAAGAACATACCGGTTCATGTGTAATTTGACCTAGAAAAAAAATAATAGTTTTTAGTGTTAAATAAATTTATATATATAAAATCAAATATTTTAATAAAATATGAAATTAATCTATGCAAACCTCCATGCTCATATTCTCGCTGTTGCGCTCCACAAAACAAATCAATCTTACGTTTTCCCTTGCTATTGGTACTACTGCCAGCAAAATCATTTCTTTTCCTCTTTATATTATTATCAATGACCTTCTGAATGTAAGTTCTCTTCTGATCAACATTCAACTGATTATATTTGGTGTTTCTACTCTCATGTATTAGAATGTGGTCTTCTGTTAAAAAATAATAAAATATACTATTAATAAACACAAATACACATAAAGCAATAATTATATATATTTATGTTGAATTCAAACCTTGGTTTGAAGTCATTTGGAAGAAGGTACTCTTGTGCAAATGTATAGTGATTATGCAATCCAAGAAGTAGAATGTATATTTCTACAAGGAAAAAAAAATTTTGTGTTAAATTATTGATTTTATTAAACATAAGTATAGCAGTGAATATAATTTTAGAGAATAAGTATATTTTATTTGATGTTTTTTTGTACTTTAGGTTTTTTTTTAGAAATTTGGTACACTATACATGCATCAGTAATCACAAATATCTCATATGCTAAGGTTAATTCTGTTTTTTAAAGTCATATAATAATAATAATAATAATAATAATAAATTTTTAAGTGTATAAGAAGATAAATACAAGGAAATAGAGTTATCATCACTATGACCAAAATAAAGAGAAAAGAGAAGAAAGTTGCTTAACTAACTTGAATCACCAACAACTTTAGAAATTTTTTTTTAAAAAAAAAGACAAATCCAACCAAGTAGAATATCTGCATTAATATGAAAAAATGTTAAATTATTTAATCTAGACGTAATAGTGTATTAAAAAACATATATAATTACTCAAATACAAAACATACATAATTATTCAGAGACAACATACATAATTACAAAAAATGTTTAATTATTTATGAAAGAATTGCACAGCAGGTTTTCACAACATACATAATTAATCAAGGAATAAGTTTTCTAAAGTTTAAAAAAATTTTAATTTAAAAAATTAAAAAAATACATTAAAAATTTTAATTTAAAAAGCAGATATCTCTGAACACATGTAAATAAATGTTCAAGAAGTGCATCAGGAGTTTTTTTTAAAATGAAATATGTGTTATATATTGGGTAAACATCTAAATAAAAGTTTATATGTATTTTTTACTAAAATATGTGTTATATATTGGGTACACATCTATATAAATGTTTATATGTATTCAAAATGTGTCCAAGGAGTGCCTGACATGGACATAGATACGCAAAGTGTAGGACACATATACAACGACCTAGATGAAGCGACTGTAGGTCTTAATGCAACACTATACCGCATAGGACTCTACCACCAATCCTCAGGTATAATCTTATGCGACTATGCCGCATTGACCTTTAGAATATAAGATGACAACAAGAACATGCCTAGGGGAAGGTTTATTAGATAATTAGATCAAAGCATTGCTTGTTTCCAAATACAAAGTGATATACTAATCATACATAACAAGATATTAAAGGTGAATGCATTGGAGGAACTACGAGATCCTAGTTGCAAAATTAAACTGCTTACAGACATTATGAATGTATTTTCCAACAAATTAAAACATATCAACAACATCCATTCCAAATACAATTAAGAAACACAAGAATAATAATTGAGAAATAAACAAAAGAATAAGAATATAAATAAATGTTTACAAAGGCACAGATATCATCTAGAAGCTTGTTGACATACTGTTAACGCAAGAAGTTGAACCTTTGGATTCTTGTGTCCAATAAGCTTTTTAAGACCTTTAACGACCTCCTTCGCTAGTCTGTTGTACATAAAGCAGGTAAGAACTACAACATAAGGCAAAACCACCTTTAACGACCTCCTTCGCTAGTCTGTTGTACATAAAGCAGGTAAGAACTACAACATAAGGCAAAACCAGATGTGATCTATTTAGTCGTTGTACATAAAGCAGGTAAGAACTACAACATAAGGCAAAACCAGATGTGATCTATTTAGTCAAGATAGAAATATGGAGGCATTTGTTTTGCCAAAATATATAAGGAAAAAAAATTCATGTTTATGGACAAATATTTTACTGGGTGAATGCAATCTTCACATTTTTCAATTGCTCTTTGAATGATAGAATACAATCGTGGAACTTAGCTATTTTATTTACAATCATGGAAGGAAATGGTAGGAGATGGATCCCAAGTGCCAATGTTATCTTCTAAATTCACATAGATTTGTTTTTCCATCCGATTTAATTCTTTAATGCTATCTTATAATAAAAAATGAAATAAATATCACATATAACAGATTTTCTCATCATTATTTTATTTTACGCTTCAGTAAAAATAAAAAATTATTGTCTGTTTCAATAAATATTTTAATTTTTTCCACATTTTAATATATCTGCTTCAAAGCCAAGAACACAATTTGGTGAAAAGAATAAACAAAATTATTATACCACATAATCCTTTGAAGCTTAATCATATATTTGACAGTAATACATCTATAACATATATTTGATACATTACATATGTATTGCATATATTCTATTAGATACATGATTCAAATATCACATACAGTGTACTATACTATTTGGACGTATAGTATGTACGCTGAAACATAAGATAAATGCAATACATATTATATTTATATCATGTATGATGATACATATATACACTTATGTTTGTGAGTGTTTTGTATATTAAAACATATTTATGACTAACTGTGACATGATGATTTACTGACTATATATATATATATGAACTCTATATGTCAATTGTTTGTCTTTACAAATATAGAACACTGTGACAATGATAGTAATTTTAATATTTCTATCTATTAGTAAATGAGTTGACCTGTTTATATTTTTTTGTTAATTCATCATATAAGAAAGTTTGGTTTAGTTAGGTAATTTCTAGATAGTCACATAAAAATACATATTGCAAATTTAAAAATAGTAGCATGAAGTTTCAAATAAGTAATTAATCATAGAATTAAAAGAACCATCAAAATTTAAAACAAGTTTTCAAAAATTTTCTTCATGCATAATGTGCATAATTTCAATTTTAGCAAAATTGAACAAAGTAGATAATCTATGTGTAATTTCAGTAAAAATATAAATTTTTTGTCTGCTTCAATAAATATTTCAATTTTTTCCACATTTGCATCCAAATATCTGTGCTTCAAAGCCAATAACATATTATATTTGACTTCGGGACTCTTATGATATTTATTTTTCTAGCCTGCCACATGAGATGTATTTGTCCGAAAACCTAAATCACATTAGCACCAATCTGCGCCAAGAACATATTATATTTGACTTCAAAGAGGTGATACGTACTTGCTTCATATATTTCACAGTAATATATACTCTATATATTACTGGCACTAACTGTGACATGATGATTTACTGACTATATATATATATACTCTATATGTCAATTGTTTGTCTTTACAAATGTAGAACATTGTGTTGATGATACTAATTTAAACAATTCTATTGGTACATGAGTAGACCTAATTCATCATATAAGGAAGTTTGGTTCAGTTAGGTAATTTCTAGGTAGTCCTTGTCCTTTGTGATTCTGAACCAAATCAGAATCATATAAAATAAATTAAAAGAAAACACAAGCGAAATCAAAAACTGAAAAATAAAAGAACTCAATTAAACAAAACTTACTTTATAGCTTATATCAGATAATCCTTTGGAGCTTAATCATATATTTGACTGTAATACATCTATAACATATATTTGACACATTACATATGTATTGCTTATATTATATTAGATACATGATTCAAATATCACATAAAGTTTACTATACTATTTTGACGTATAGTATGTACGCTGGAACAAAAGATACATGCAATAAATATTATATTTATATCATGTATGATGATACATATATACACTTATGTTTGTGCGTGTTTTATATATTAAAACATATTTATGACTAACTGTGACATGATGATTTACAGACTATATATATATATATATATATATATGTACTCTATATGTCAATTGTTTTTCTTTACAAATGTAGAACACTGTGTCGATGATACTAATTATAACAATTCTATTGTTAAATGAGTTGACCTGTTTATATTTTTATGTTAATTCATCATATAAGTAAGTTTGGTTCAGTTAGGTAATTTCTAGGTTTAATTTACATCGTTTTTATGTTTGATTCAGGAATCTTTTGATATTTATTTTTCTAGACTGCCACATGAGATGTATTTGGCCGAAAACCTAAAAAGGTAGTTTCATTTCAACTAAAAAGAAAGCAAACCTTAGAGCACTTCAAATAAATAATAATACGTGTCTTTTGTCTGCACTTCCTTGCACTGGAGAATTATAAAAGTTTAGGCCCCCGGATATAGTTTGGTGTTTAATTGGTTTAGAAAATTCCGTTGTGTGTTAATTTCAAGGGTATTGCAAGCATTTAGGTTTAATATGTTGTCAAATAAAGATACACACACGTCTACGTATGTATGAGATCTGAATTATATCTTCATGATTTCCCTCCCACCATAAAAGATCAACTACCGCGTCTACGTATGTATGAGATCTGAATTATATCTTCATGATTTCCCTCCCACCATAAAAGATCAACTACCTAGAATCCAAAAACATTTATATATAATCATATCTTCATGATTTCCCTCCCACCATAAAAGATCAACTACCTAGAATCCAAAAACATTTATATATAATCCAATTCCAGTTGTTAGAGATTTATGTCATTTACAAAACGTTAACTAATTTCAAAAATAGGAGTTGCTGTTACATTCAAATCAAGGAGTTTACTGTGACATGAGTTGAAAATGCATGAAATTTTTTAAATATAACTGTTATTTAATTCATGTGCATTGTGTCTACAGAATTATGCAATTACTTTCTGTTCTATTGGAACACTTTTCAATCTAGATGGAATAGCAACTCATTTTTCTTTTTTAAAGATATTTGTTTTTGTAGTAATTTTTTGAGCGCACCAGCGCAATAATGTGATCCAACCATACATGTATATTTAAATTTAGTGGTAAAGCTAGTGTATAGACTTGGATTTGGATATTATTGATTCCAACTATAAGGTTATGATAAGAACCATGCTCCAACTACTCCAACATTTGACACACGCTACTCATGCTTCTCCATAAACAGTTAATCAAACACTTAAGAAGATTTATTGTGACTAAAACTGCGGAGACAAATATGTCTGAATCTAAAACACATTTCTGATCCAAAGAAGTAATTCACTCTGATGGTAAAACAAGTATTCAAATAATTTAAAATCTTAAGCTTAACAAATACACGATAAGGTTATCATATGCTGGATATAGCATTCAAAGAAGGACCATTTAGTTGTAGTCGTACTACATATAAATCGAGCCTTGCTAAGTCAAAAAAAGCTTTAATAATTATGCAAGTTGTAGTCGTACTACATATAAATCGAGCAAGTATCCTCAAAAACAACTTTAATAATTATGCAAAATTTCCCTCCCTGTAGCTATATATAAAACTGCATGAAATTGAATAAAGTTTCAGAAAATACATACTGCAAATTTAAAAAGAGTAACATGAGGTGTCAAATATGAAATTAATCATAGAATTTAAAAAAGCATCTGAACTTAAAACAAGTATTCAAAAATTTCCATTCATGCATAATGTGCATAATTTACAATCATCCAATGGTTTGCAGTCAGCCAAGGGAAATTCTTTGGATAATCTATGTTTAATTTCTAAATTATTTGAAATTAAACAATAATTCAAAGTTTGCAGTCAGCCAAGGGAAATTCTTTGCATGTCTAAAATATCAACTAAATAAATAAAATTTATGGTTGCATAATTTACAATCATCCAATGGTTTGTTGTCCTTTTTGATTCTGAACCAAATCAGAATCATATAAAAAAAATTAAAAGAAATTAAAGGCGAAATCAAAAACTAAAAAATAAAAGAAATCAATTAAAATAAACTTACTTTATACTTGCGATACAGCTGCTGAAGGTTTGTCGCTTGAATCTGTGGAAAATTGAGATTTAGGTCAAAATTATTTTAGAACAAAATGAGAGGTATGAAGATCTGAAAGGAGATATATAGGGTGAATTAAGCATAACTAAATCTTAGATCTAGGGTTTAGTATAGATGAGTGAAGACAAAGTAGGCATACCTTTCTGAATGCCAAAATCCAGAAAACTGCTGACCCGGCGAGTTTATCATTTGGGCATTTATAGTCATCTTGGCAAATTGATGATTGGAAGGTCGCGGGATGGCGATAACAGTAAGGGATTACCTCTTCGGCTTCAGCGGAGAGAGGCGCTTAGGTAAACCGAAGATCTCTTCGGCTTCGGCAGAGAGGAAGGGAGATTCGGCTTAGACGGGATTAATTTGGTATATTTAAAAGAGGTAGAGGCTAACTCTACATAACACAGATTAGCAAACAGCAACAGTATCATCGTGAGCTGTCGAGTAGCAACTACCCAACTAGATTCAAAAACGTGATGTGAATATAGATATTCCCAACTAAAGTTTCAAACCGTTATAGATAAAACGAGTAAAATCGACCAGTGCGATACCGCGACATTAGTGTGGAAAAAAAATAATGATTAAAACATTTGGTTTAAAAAATGTAGTGTACCTAATTAAAAATATAGCAAGTTACACCAAAATATATCAACTTGCAACGTGTATTGAAATGCTAAAATGTAAAGTGAGGTCAAAACTAATTTGATGAAGTATTTTGTACCTAATAGTGATTTAGAGTGGATGAGTTTCAAGTTGTAGTCGTACTACATATAAATCGAGCAAGTATCCTCAAAAACAACTTTAATAATTATGCAAAATTTCCCTCCCTGTAGCTATATATAAAACTGCATGAAATTGAATAAAGTTTCAGAAAATACATACTGCAAATTTAAAAAGAGTAACATGAGGTGTCAAATATGAAATTAATCATAGAATTTAAAAAAGCATCTGAACTTAAAACAAGTATTCAAAAATTTCCATTCATGCATAATGTGCATAATTTACAATCTAGGTTGAATCAAACTAGACGGAAATTTTCCGTCTAGGTTGATCCGTCTAGTTTGGATCAAACTAGACAGAAAATTCCGTCTAGTTTGCCAAACGAGACGGAAAGGTCAACCTAGACGGAATTTCCATCTAAGTTGAGGCAACCTAGACGGAAAATTCCGTCTAGGTTGACAATTCAACCTCGACGGAAAAATTCTGTCTAGGTTGACCATTCAACCTAGACAGAATTTCCGTCTAGGTTGAGGCAACCTAGACGGAATTTCCGTCTAGGTTGAACAGTCAACCTAGACGGAATTTCCGTCTGGTTGCATAATTTACAATCATCCAATGGTTTGTTGTCCTTTTTGATTCTGAACCAAATCAGAATCATATAAAAAAAATTAAAAGAAATTAAAGGCGAAATCAAAAACTAAAAAATAAAAGAAATCAATTAAAATAAACTTACTTTATACTTGCGATACAGCTGCTGAAGGTTTGTCGCTTGAATCTGTGGAAAATTGAGATTTAGGTCAAAATTATTTTAGAACAAAATGAGAGGTATGAAGATCTGAAAGGAGATATATAGGGTGAATTAAGCATAACTAAATCTTAGATCTAGGGTTTAGTATAGATGAGTGAAGACAAAGTAGGCATACCTTTCTGAATGCCAAAATCCAGAAAACTGCTGACCCGGCGAGTTTATCATTTGGGCATTTATAGTCATCTTGGCAAATTGATGATTGGAAGGTCGCGGGATGGCGATAACAGTAAGGGATTACCTCTTCGGCTTCAGCGGAGAGAGGCGCTTAGGTAAACCGAAGATCTCTTCGGCTTCGGCAGAGAGGAAGGGAGATTCGGCTTAGACGGGATTAATTTGGTATATTTAAAAGAGGTAAAGGCTATTTTGGGGATGGATAAGTTTTTCAAGAACTGGCTCTTTTAGCAAGTCTTAGGGATTCCTCTGCACCGGCTAAGTTCTACCCAGACAACCATCTTCAGCTTTAATGCCAATAGCACATGACCCTTGGGTAAAATCAAACTCAGATGTCAAATTGGAGATCTCAAGTTCGAAGTGACTTATTACATTATAGATGCAGACATCTTATAATTTGTTGTTAGGACGACCCTGGATTCATGCGAATCGTAATGTCCCATCTACTCTTCATCAGGTCATGAAATATGTCGATGAAGAGGGAGAAGTCAGAACTCTAATTGCCAAGAAGAAACCTTTCAGAGGGGTGGAGAACTTTCACACTGATTCGGTTTTCGATCTGGATACCTAAGAGCCAGAGCAATCAAATGAGGCCGCTGACAGTGGCAAAGAAGCTGACATCGAGCCCAATCCTGAGGAGGATTGTCCGTGGGAGTTGGATTTTAATGTAATGGGTCAGAGTGAGGATAATAACAATGTAACGAGTGAGGGCGAGTGGTACATTAATAAAGATTTTAATTTGGCGTACTTGTCCAATGTGTCTAATATAGATGCATGTACTGATTCATGGCGCACATTGTACGCCGAGGTATTACTCAATTTGCCTATAAAATCATCCTTCACTATGTTTGAAGAGATGGAAGATGCACAGAAGGCTTTCTTTATGGTCCCGTCTAGAAGGAAAGGGCAAAAGTCAATCTATTTCGGTAGAGTCAAACCCGAATTACTCCAGCGAGAGAGTTCAGAGGAAGACCGGGGATCCCCCCAATTCTATTATCATGAACCTAACTCCATAAAATTAATGAAAAGGATGGGTTACGACTTTGGTAAACAGGAATGTTTAAATATTAGGAAAGGAAGACGAGTGCTGATTCGGCTTTCTTCCCCAGAAGGAAAACCTCTTGATTATTACAATAAAACTAAAAGAGGGTTAGGTTATATCTCTACTGTGACGCCCCTGGGTTCACACAAGGCTGCAGTCCGAGGTGAAACCAGAAATGTTAAACCTGCCATGCACCACACCGTGCAATAACATGTTTCACCATCACATTTACTATCTCTCTAGTGGAATCAACAACAGGTGTAGTACAAAGCAAGTAAAAGATTATACAAGAATCAACTGATGAAATAATAGAGATTTAATATTTCATTATCTAATATACTGGAATACAAGTAAATGTCTGAAATAAATGAACTGGAGTCCTCAACAAGTCTCAAATACAAAATGTCTGACAAAGGGAAATAAGGCACACAGCCTTTAAAATTTCTAGAATAAAACTCTCACATGTCTACACAAAAGTCTACAGTGGAGCTCAAAAGAAAATATAACTAAATAGACGGCTAAAACTAAAATGCGTCGCCATCAACCTGCGACTCTCTGGGCTCCTGGCTCGTTACCTGAAAGGGGGAGGGACAACGAGCGTCAAAGCGCTAGCGAGCATCATCACAACCAACCCCAAAGGATAGGGCTCGTTGTATATGAAAATACAGTGAATACATAATATTCTAAAATCATAGATCCTAACAAAAGAGGATTTTAGTATTTAGAGATTTACAACACGAGCATAGGTACGTCGAGCGAAATAATCCAAACAAGGAAACCCTCATGTATATACCTTGTATCTCAAATTGTAAATCCCTAAACACCAAACCCAAAATCTAATACAGGAACAATAATAAAGAGAAATACAACCCATCTCAAAACTTAAATACTGTGTCATGTCATAACCAAATAAGTGTCAAAGGTCAAAATTACATAAGTGTCATGTACAGCCTAGGTAGCTATCATGTCCAAATCTCATGTAATCATGTCATGTCCTGATTTAGATAAGTGTCATACTCATAGCTTAACAAATGTCCAAGACGTGGTCAAATATGTAAATGTCCAACACGATGACTGAAATGGATTATAGTCCAACACGAGGACTTTAGTGGATTATAGTCCAACACGAGGACTTCAATGGATTATAGTCCAACACGAGGACTTCAATGGATTATAGTCCAACACGAGGACTTCAATGGATTATAGTCCAACACGAGGACTGTATATATAAACCATGGAATACTAGAAGTAAAGGTATACATATTCTACTCTTGTGCATGCCTCACGGTACAGATCTAAGCTTGTGTCAGAAAAGTCATCTCATATGTGTAGATGAAAACATGAATACTACAATTTAATACTCGATAAACAAGGCAACTACTCATGTTCAACAAAAGTTCAATAGAACCCTCGATCATATATGAACACTGTATGAAAGTATAAGCATAGTAGTTGATCAAGCAGAAATACAAACGAAATAGGAAAAACTCCGATGAGTCGACTCAAATCAGCACATCTGCAGTTTTCTGCAGAACATAGCATTAGTAAAATGAGAATATCTTTCTCTGGACAAACTCTTTTTAAGAATAGTTTTTCGTTTTGGAAACTAGACTCACATAGATATCATTTGACACTAATTTGGCTCAGTTTGGAGTTCATATGGTATTTTAAATTTCCAGTCAAACATTTTAAATGTGCAGCAGATTTTCTGCTGGATATATCATCAGTAAAATGAGTATATCTTTCTCTAGGAAAACTATCTTTAGGTATGGTTTTCTGTTTTGAAAACTAGATTCACATATCTTTCAATTGGCATTAGTTTGGTTCAATTTGGATTTCATTTGTTATTTCAAATTTCTAGCTCAATAGTATATGTGCAGCAGATTTTCAGCAGAACATAACAAGCATGATTATTTGCACAAGAAATCATATGTAAACCTTCAATCATGCACAAAACTTTAAAACGAAGCATAAGACATCTAAATTCAGATAAACGATATTTTAAATTATTTTCAGATCTTAAAACACTTCTATAAATTCGTGCTTAATCTCTTTAACATGAAAAGACCTAGTCTTCATACATATATACAAAAGATCCAATTTTTATACACAAAATAATTGATTAGGCTCTATAAAACTCATTAAAAACTCTTCAAAAATATTTTCAAAACTGGGAGGGGGATTAGTAGAGATGATACTCGCCTGGGGTTGAAGGAAAATACACAAATTAATTGATTAGGCTCTATAAAACTCATTAAAAACTCTTCAAAAATATTTTAAAAAAACTGGGAGGGGGATTAGTAGAGATGATACTCGCCTGGGGTTGTAGGAAAACTTGTTAGAAGCAACGTCGAAGGAGATCTCCACTCCAAAAGCCAAAAATCAACAAAAACCCAACTTGAAAGCCTCCAATCCTCTCCAAGAATTCAAAATAGGGTTTATGGGTGTTTGGTGGCTGTTAGGGTTCTTAGATATGATAAAAGAAAGGAATTTTCGTGAAAAATATAGGTATTTATAGAGACAAACCCGAAACAAACCTGTTAGACCCGAACCAGGAAACCTAGTCTGACTAGGAAAATACACCTTCGGTATTTTGGCTATAACTTTCTCATACAACCTCGGAATGAGGTGAATTCTCAGATTCTCACTCTTGGCCTTTGTGCATGATTTGTGTATTTGTACTCACATATATACATATATACATTGAATTGATCTCAAATCAATTCCTAGCATACTCAAACATCATAATATATTATTTATAAATGTATAACATATTTATTAATATTTATCATAAAGTATTCAAAATTTTCGGGGTTTGACATTTGTAGGAGTTATTTCTCCGTGGGGCGCACCGGTCCTCTTCGTGAAGAAGAAGGATGGTAATATGAGATTGTGTATTGATCATAGAGAGCTGAACAAAGTCACTATCCGAAATAGGTACTCTTTACCTAGGATTGATGACTTGTTCAACCAGTTGCAGAGAATGTAGTATTTCTCGAAGTTTGATCTTCGTTCTGGTTATCGTAGTTGCGGATTTGGGAGATGGATTTTCCCAAAGAAGTTTTCCTAATTTTATGTGAATCTTTAGATTTTCTAGTTAGGTCATTTGGGCTGACTAATGCACCGTGGTATTCATGAATGTGATGAACCGAGTTTTTCCGTCCCTTCATGGGCCAGTTTGATATTCTCATATTTTCGAGATCAGAGGCAGCACACGAGTAGCATTGCAGACTCTTCAGGAGCATTAGTTATATGCCAAGTTCAGTAAATGCGGGTTTTAGTTTTCAGAAGTCAGATTGGTTAGCCACGTCAACAGCAAAGAGGGCATAGCAGTGAATCCGGCTAAGTTTACAGCAATTGTTGATTTGGAACCGCTAAAGACGGTGATAGAGATTCGAAACTTCTTGGGTTTAACCGGTTATTATGGGGAGTTCATCCAGGACTTCTCGAAGATTTCGACGCCTCTAACACTTCTTACGAAGAAGGGTGTACAGTTCATTTGGAGCATGGTGTGCCAGAAAGCCTTGATACCTTGAAGGCTAAGTTGACTACAGCGCCGGTTTTGACTATTCCGAGCAACGATAGAACATACGATGTTTACACAGAGGCATAATTGGCAGATTTAGGAGGCGTCTTGATGCAGACTGAAAGGGTAGAAGCATATATTTAGAGTGCACGAGCAGAACTATCCCACTCATGATTTGGAGTTAACAGCGGTAGTATTTACATTGGAGTCACGGGACATTACTTGTATGGAGCACAACTTGAATTGTTCACCGACCACCATAGTTTAAATATCTTCTCTCCCAGAAGGAAACTCAACCAGAGGCAGCAGCGGTGGATTGACTTTATTGAGAACTATGA